GTGGAACTTTAGGGCATCCAAGTTCCCTTGAGAGCCTATGCCTTTCTTTGTGTTTGTTCTCAATTTTCACCCTTCAAAGTCCACATGGCTGCTTTCTCTGTGAAGCTTCCCTCTGTCCCTTTAGGTGGAAACCAGCACTCTGTGCTGCATCTGCTCTTTTATCTCATTTCCAGTATTTTACTGGTGGTGTGAGAGAACCTGTTTCCTTGACAGTCTACCTAAGATGTGGGCTCCTATCATCAGCCTGATGCACAAGAGTTCAGAGAGATGGAAAGATGCAGAAAGGAGGAAAGGAAGGAAGGAAGGAAGGAAGAAGGAAGGAAAGAAAGAAAGAAAGAAAGAAAGAAAGAAGGAAGGAAAGAAGGAAGGAAGGGAGGAAGGAAGGAAAGCAAGCAAGCAAGCAAGCAAGCAAGCAAGAAAGAAAGGTGGGAGGGAGGAAGGGAGGAAGAACTTAGCATTTGAAGACCTGGGGTTTGAACCCTTGATGGCCAGATTTCCAGATGTGTGCCTTGGGCACATCAGAACTAACCTGAGTCTAACTTTCTTTTCAGGTAAAATGGACAAAAATAATGCCTTTCTATTATGGTCAAAAGAGGTAATGTGCATAGAGATGCTGTGACACAGTAAGGTTATATAAAACAAAGTAATGCTTTATATTTCAGCAACATATATCCTGCCAATTATAGGCAGCAATGGGCACTCAGTGGAGAAGCAGTGAGAATGTGAGAGTGAGGGAGATGCACATCGCCGTTATCTTAAAATGCTACACTTACTATATTTATCAGCCACGTGCTCCAAGCCTCTTGAAGAGTTCCTGCTGGTCCCTGTCTTTGTGGGGGGAGCCTTGCTGCTGGGCTGGTGCATTCTGCCCTGTCACATACCACATTTGGCGAGGGGCTCTGCTGCTAACATCTGGAAGTGCTTGATAATTTTGAATCAAGAGTTTCACATTTTCATTTTGCCCTGGTCCCTGCAAACAAAGTTTCAGATCCTGCTCACACTGACTAGAGGCAGCTGCTTGTTTTCCACCTACTGAGCAGATCTTTCTCTCCCTGACCCCACGTTTTTCTGATTCTGCCTGTGAAGCCAACCTGGGAGGATTCCCTTTTCAGCCCAGAAACTTGAGATCCTTGAGACAGCTGTCCTTTCCTTTCCTCCTGATCTGTATCTCCTCCCCCCTCTCCCTGTTGATTTGTGACCTTACATTTTGAATGTAAAATATGGTCTATCTCTTCCTTGTATTGCGTTCCATTCATCTGCTTGTGTTCTTATGAACTGATATTTCATGACTTTAATAATTATAGTCACATGATGTGTTCTAAAATTGTTGGAGGGTAAGACTTTTATTTATTTATTTTTTTGGTACCAGGGATTGAACTCAGGTCCTTGTACTTTCAAGGCAGGCGGTGGAACCACTGAGCTAAATCCCTGGCCCCCAAGACTTTTAAATTATTTATCTAGGGATGGGGATTTAGCCCAGTGATTCCACCGCCTGCCTCTCAAGTGGAAGGACCCGAGTTCTATCCCCTGTACCAAAAAAATTATTTATCTAAATTACCTTTGTATTTATCCTTTCTTGATGTATCCATATGACGTAGAAACACTGCATTCCTGAGATAAACCCCACTTAGTCAGGGGCCATGATTTCTTTAATGTACTATGAAATTCACTTCACTACCATTTTACTTACAATTTTCACAAACATAGTAATTGATTTTGCTATTATTGCTCAGTTTTTGGTATTATTGCTAGGGATTTATGATAGCTTTCTAAAATAAATGAGGTAATTTTTCATATTTATGTTATAGGATACTTTAGATAGCATGGGGATCTCTTAAAATATAAAAGAATTCACCTTATAAGGACTGAAGATCAGGAAGCTGAAGGAGAGGGTAATACTTAAGATATATTTTCGGAATTGTCTTCTGATTATTGCCACATTTAATTCTATTTCTTGTTGAACCAATGTTTAAATTTATGCTTTCTACAAACTATCCAAGTTAATTAACATTTTTCAAAATACTCATAGATGTTACAGCATTTTAAAAGTAATTTGTATCTTCTCCAGTAGGATATTCCTTTCACATTTTTAACATGTTTCTTTTTCTTGAATAAGTTTGTTGCAGGCTTGTAAAGATATTTTGTTATCTCAAAAAAGTCTTTACATTTATATGTGACATCATTCTATATTTCTACTTTAAAACTAATTAATTTTAGTTTTTTATATATTTTTCTATTTCCCATCATTCTTTGTTTGGCATAAAGGATTCATTTAAAAATTTTTTAGGCATTTCATTTATTCATTTAAAAATAGTAGAGGGAAGGTGAATATGGAAAATGTCATTTTTTACTATTTTCAAAATTGAAGTATTTTAACTTTAATGTGCTTATTACCGTTATGTCCTCATTTGGGTCTGTAACTTTTATCAATGTGAAGTAATTATTGTTATTTTCCCCTTTTAAAAATCTGCTTTGCCTAATATTTAATTTCTCATGCTTTCTGTTATAATGCTGCATCTTTATTATTGCAAAATTTCTGTGACACTCTATGCGCTTATCTTTTATATAGACAAACCGCTGCTTTCTGTTTTAAACCCTAACCCAACTTGTTATCCCCTAAAAACTCATTTCTGTTGGTCCTGATATATTTTATAGCTCCCTTACCATCCTGGTTAACAGTGGCTTTATAAGAACTTCATGTCTTTTTAAATTTTAATTTTTGAGGAATCTCATTTTATTATCTCCAACTCTCATCCAGCCTTCTCTCTACTTCCAAATGTATTTCCCCAAAGAACCCAGCAAGTTGGGTCAGGAGGGCTACAATAATATGCTTCCATAATGGCAGTACTACTCAGACTTGTTTATGTAAGAAACCTAAGAAAAGCAGTATTTTGGTGGAATACCAAAAGAAACCTACAAGTATAATGTACATTTGGATTAATATAACTAGGAATAAAAAAGGTTTTCGGATGATTTAATCATTGCAAGAAATGATCACATTTTGACTCATTTTAGTGCACACAATTATTGAACAATATCAGAAGTGTATAATGCTCTTGTAAGAAATATATGTAAGGTAGAGCAATAATCAGTTAAAAAACCTCTAATCTGCGTGAGCTGATTAATGATGCCTACTCATCACTTTATCATGGAATGTCCTCTATTCACAAGGCAAGACTCTCCCGTGAGATCCCAGGCCTTTCATGTAGGGAGTGCTTGTCTTCATCTCTTTTGAAGGCATCAGCCACTGTGACGGTAATGAACTCTTCTTATGTATATGTGATAAATTTTGTTTGAAAACAAAAAGAATCCCTATTTCTTATTTTTTAACTTTTTATTAGTTCAGTAAAATTATCTCATAAATTGGTAACATTTCATAGAATGTGATTTTGAAAAATCTGTTTAGGAGCAAGTGGGTTATAATATTTCCGAGAAAGATAAAACCACAGTGCGCTTGTAAATGAACGTGGCATTATTCATCCACTCAGTCATCTATTCAGATGACAAATACTTATGAAGCACTTACTTTGGGCTGGTCAGGACACTCGCCTACTAGAACTATAAGGTTGAAGACGACATATCATATGTCTTGTGAAACTTGCTGCCACTAGAGGATGGTCATAGGAAGTGCTACTGTGGTCAAGAGCCTCACAGTAAATTAGAGAAGGGATGCTCAAGCAGGAGCATGAAGGAGTAGGAGTGTCCTCCTAGCCACGGGAAACACCTGCCCTGGCTGGGTGCTCTTGAAATCACTTAAACTCTTTCTTGAAAGAGTTACTTCCAGGTTTCAGTAAGAATCACAAAGATGAGGGAAATCTGCAGAGAGAGAGAGAGAGAGAGAGAGAGAGAGAGAGAGAGAGATTCTTTTCTTTCATCCTGTGGTATCCTCCTGATCTTCTGGCGTTAATTTTCTACTAGAACCTTGACTTATTCCAACATGGCCCTGCCCATAAGGTAGTAGAATTGACTTGGGAAATCTTGCCCTAAACTGTACTCATCTGTTTATTCCCTCAAGATGCAGGAAGAAAACAGGCCATGTCTTTGGACCTCCTCAGCCCTGAAGATGGAGGCCACTTGATGCAGTTAGGGCCATATGGTATATGGCATTACCGGCTTAGATAAACACTTTTCAAGACAAAATGGAGGCTAACTCTCCACACTTGTAACTAGTTTCTCTCTGCAGTTTTCAGTATTTCAGGAATCATAATGTATTAAATGTGCTTATTTCAATGTCTGTTTCTCCAGGGACAGTGAGGTCCTTATGCTGCCTACCACATAGGGACCAGAGAAAGTGTATCGAATGGGGAAAACTGAAGAATGAAGCATTTTACCAAAACATGGCAATCTTGACTTTTTTGTACATTGCAAAATTTAAACTTCTTTTTAAATTAAACAGTAATAATTATAAAAGTTCAGAGCAGCCATATAAACATCAACCATGAAGAATGGCAAACATAGCTTACTGCTAAGTTTGAATTAGGTGAGGTTGAACTCTGAGAAGCCATGAGGCACCCCGGGAGATGTGCGTCAAACTGGCCCCAGGGCATTTAGAAAGGCCCAAACACAGTCCTGGATGTTGCCTAAACCAGGAGGATGGGAGCGACGGAAAAGCTCCTGCACTCAACAGACAGGCATTCACTAGGCAGTTACTGCAGGCTGCATGACACTATGATTGGATGCTATAAAGCAGCAGGTTCTGATCTGCAAAGAACCCATAGCTTGTCAAAGGTGTTAGTGATCACTGAGGGCCTGCTATATGTCAGACTCCCTGTGGGGAGTAACTATCTCCATTCCCTCTCTTTATGCCCCTAACCACTGATGTTTAAGAAGATGGCAATGAGAGGTGAGGGCCAGGTATGTGGCAGTTGTAATAATGTCTACTTTTGACCTTTGTCCCTCCGCCCCCCATGGTGGTAAGAAAGCTTCTGGTTATGACAATTAGAGTTGGGTGTGACTTAAGGTTGAGTCTGAGAGGAGTGAAGAGCAATAGACCTTGGAAGTGCCTTACAAAGTCCTTCTATTTAGTGCCCATGGAAGGTCCATCTCAGGGAGGGACAAACTGAGCCCTTGTGAAATTGGGAGACGTAGAGCCACACTATGTCAAGAACTATGGTTTGTCTTTTCCCCATCTTCCCTCATGGTAGCACTGTGGTCCACAGGCCTTGCTCTGGGGAAACCCAGGCCCCTTGTCTTCACTGGCCTAGTCTTCAGGACAGCCTGGCCTTGATGTCCCCAAGTTCTCTTCCTGCTGCCTAGTGGAGCAGTAACCACCACACCAGGACTTCCAGCTTCCCACTTGATAGCTGCGTGGCTTTGAGAACATCACTCAACACTGGTCTGAGTACAGAAGACAAATCATGGTTCCTGGGCTTGAATCTTGACATGGTCACCTGCTGGCTTTGTCTCCCTGGGCCTCAGTTTCCTTGTCTGCAGAATGGAGCCTGATCATATGGGTGTGGGAAGTGAGCCAAGCAATGTGAAAGTTTTCTACCTCAATCTTGCCACGTAACTTCAATCTTCATGAGCTGTGCTGTAGTTCTTCCCTGTTTTAGGTAACATGGTCTTCAGAGAACTCCCCAGAACTTTCAGGAGATGTCTGTGCTGAGCGTACCTTTGCTCATTTTCTTCTCTTCTGTTCCATCTCTACCAGCTCTTCTCTGGAGGCCTTTGTCTCTTATCTTCATTAGAGACCTTGACGTTGACCAGGCATGGCCAGGAGTGAAGCCATAAAAGAGTAGTCCGAGAGGCAGCTGGGCCCCGAAGGAAGGGATGGCAGGCTGAGTTCTGTTTGTACAGGTGCATTGTAATGCTGCCTGTGGTGTGAACATTTTCCACTTCATTACGCCTGGCTCTAGCCCAGACCCCGTCTGCTCCACTGGCCCCTGCCTTGGGTTAATTTCAGCAGTTCTTTGCCTTTGGAAGGCCGACCTAACAGAAAGGAAAACAAATGAGTTCGCCACAAACATTTTTGCACATTGGCCAAGGTGGACGGGCCAACTCATGGAGCAGAAAGGGGGCCAGTTTGGCTGGTGCTGCTGTACCCCCATTAGAGTAGCTCAGTCTCCAAGGCCTAAGCCCACTCTTTCTAGATGGAATTAGTCTGATTTTGTGTGTGAGAGTGGGCCAAACAGATACGCATGGGTCCCGGGTGGCACAGTATGTAAGAGTTGATTGAACTGAATAAATGCTAACATTTAATGAGCACTTACTATGGTCCAGATGGTATTGAAACACTGTAACTGGATTTTAGAATGAGTACATCTATTGCTACTCCTACCTTACAGATGAGGAAATAGGCATATAGTATGATTGGTAGTAATGGAGCCCAATTTCGTTCATGGCAGTCTGACCTCAGCATAATTGCATGCTGTCATTCCTGCTGGCATAATGTGCTACATGTGCTGACATTTTGATGAGGGGAAGGCTGCTGTACAGTTCTAGAATGGTATGATTTGGACACATCGAGTCCCAGGTTTGGATAGAACTGTGGGTGACAATGCCTGATGACCACTCCATGCTGGTTCCCCATTGCTGTTATCTGGAGTCTGCTTACGGAGCTCCACTGGTGGGCCTTCTCTCTTTAGGAGACATCCTTGCTGTTACGTGATGACGTCACTGAAGATGGTGCTGGCGACTCGGGCAGATGCAGCTTTTCCCTGCTGTGTTGACTGTAAAAGTGGTAACCCATGCAACTGTGCCTAGCAGAGTGCTGAGGACACCACTGGTACTCAGTCCACTTTCTCTCTTCCTTCTTTCTTTCTTTCTTTCTTTCTTTCTTTCTTTCTTTCTTTCTTCATCTTTCACAAACTATAAACAAATTATATACTCAGCTGTCAGGAAGATATTTTTACAAAATAACATCAGGCTTATGCTCCATTTGTAAGATTTATTAGGACACAGAAATCTAATTCCCACTTTTTTCTTTCTGTTCCTTTCTCTCCTTTCTTTCCCCAGTGGTTTGTGGAGGTAGGGCTGCAGTAGCCAGAGCACAGGCCCTGCCCACGGGGGGTTCTGCCTACCTTGGGAGCTACCACACAGACGATCACTGTCTGAGGGGTGAGGACCAGTCTGTGAGCCAGTGGAAGAAGTCGCTAAGGTAGGCTCTCCAAGACCCACTGGACACTATTTGTCACTTTCTGGTAAATTGACTCTATGTAATTGGAAGAAATGCTTGCATTTGAAATCAGTTTGAAATTATCCCCAGATATATGATTTTATTAACTGGTGACCATGTCTTTCTAGTAGAACACACACCAAGGATTGAAATCAGTCCAATCTCTCTATTATACTCAAGGGTGCTGCCTATCCTAGGACCCTCTCTCTGACTCTGCAGTGTGTGCCTCTGCGGCAGACCATTCCTGTCAGCACACAAACATGCTATGCTATCATTCACCTTGAAACATGAGGCCTCCAAGGATTCCTATCCTCTCATTTCCCTGTTTCTCTTTACATGAAAAGTTGTATAATTGAAGCTACCTGAGGTCTGTCCTTCTTCTCCTCCTGTTGTCTCTTGACCCTATTCCCTCTGATGTTTGCCCTCACCGCAACAGTGGGCATGTCAAGGTCACTGTGGTCCATGCTTAGCTAACTCTGAAGTCCTTTCTCAGAACCTACGCCCTTCACTTGCATCTAGGACAGGGGCTGTGGGTTTTCTTCCTACCTTAATGTGCCCCTCCTTTGCAGCTCCCTAGCTGGGTTATTCACTCATTCATTTGGGAAGGTCCCAAGTACTGGTGTCTTCTCTAGCCTGGACTGCTCTCTTCCCTCCCTGGGGATTCCAAGCCAGCTTCTAAATAACGCATGTTCTGAAAAAGGACACACGAGCATCTCCAGCCTGCCCCTCACTGCCCCTGTAGTCTCCATGAGTTCTCCAACACCCACCTCAAATATAGCATATTTGAGCCACAACCCTTCCTTGCTCCTTTTGCACGCTTTCCCCTCTCTGGAAAAGGTTGCTTCACTCTTTGTTTCTCAGCCCCAGTGGAGTCATCGAGTCTTCGACGCTTCTCATGCGCACTCCACCTTCCACCCAACAGCGCATCCTGCAGAGGAAGAAGCCCGGACTCTGATGCACCTTATCACCCCAGGCCACCACTGTCTATTGGTGCCCTCCCTCCCGGCCAGTGCAGTTGCAACAGTCATTTACCTGGTCTCCTGCGTGCATCCTTGCTGCCCTTCACACTGTTGCTGTCGTGGGAGACAGAGGGATCTTTCAACACGCTAAGTCACATCCTGCTAACTCCTTGCCTTCTGGCCTCCAATAGCTCCCATCTCACCCAGGTTAAAATCCAGCATTCATTTCATCCCCTGTGAGGTCCTCATGAACTGGGCTGATCACTTCTTCCTGGCTCCATCTCCCACTAGTATCCCTATCCCTCTCTCTGCTCCAGCCATGCTGGCCCCATGCCAACACATGCCCCCACTGAAGCCCTGGACCTTACTCTGCCTCCTACCTGAACGCCTCCACCAGGGCCTTAGGGCCTCACTTCTCAGGGACTACCCACACCATTCCCTATGAAGTTGTATTCTGCATCACTACTTTTTCCTGCTGCAGGTTCCTTGCCCTGCGGTACTTACTGTATCCTGATACCATATGGATTTAGGTGTTTGTTACTAGCCTGCTTCCTTCCCCTGCAGTGTAAGCTCCTTAATGCAAATTTGTTTGTTTCCTGCCTTTAACCCCAGTGCCTGGAACAATGCTGATACTTGGAAGCCGCTCAAGAAATATTTGCTGAATGAATAATTTGGGAATTGTGTTTGAATCCCAGCTCTGTCTGTAGTTCCCCTGAAACCTGAATAGACAACTTCACCCCGGGCCTCAGCCCCTTCAACCTGGAGGGGAAAGCCTCTCTTGTCCTTCTCAACTCTGCAAGTATCGAAGAAAATACAAGGAGGTAGGGGCTGGAGTAAAGACCTAGTGGACACAAGGAGTAAAAGACAGTCCCTCCCACTTATGCCCAAACTCGTAAATTTATATTAGTTAGAAAAACTTTATAAAAGAACATGGCCATTTATTTATCTTTCAGGGCTTTCTTGGCATAGCCTAGTTTGAAGAAAGAGGAAAATAAAACTTTAACAGTACAATTAATCCCAGTGGGTGCCAGGCAGTGGGCACATGGTATGGCCCACGCTTGTATTTAATACAGCTCTGCTCAGAAGGCTCTGAGCTCCCAGGGGCACTAGCCAGGTGTTTCATCAGCTCAGGCATCCACAAGGTTTACTGAATTTGGCTCGATTGAGGGGTTTTTGTTTTGATTTGTTTTTGCTGTGGAAAGGGCTCAGTGACAGTAAGTGACTTCCCCAAAGTTTCATAGGTAGTGAGTGATGTCACAAGTGCTGTCTTGTGACAGACCACACTCAGTACACCGGGCTGCTCTCTGTGGACAGTGAGCAGGCTCCTCAATCAGATTTAAGTCTCTTGAAACCGATGCAGGGCAATTGGTAGAGTCTTGTACATATTTTGGCTGTCAGAGCAGCGGCAAGCTTGTGCAACCAGCATAATAGCTTCTCTTCAATACCCTCTGAAAGGAGCTGAGAGCTTCACTTTGCAGCCCCTCCCAGCTTCGTGCGCTCTTTCAGGGTCTTGCCACAGCCACTGTAGTTGCTATGGAAGCAGAGTAACAAATATTCAGAGGCCAGCAACACCTTCCAGTCAAGAATGTTTGGGACAAGGCCCCTGCCCATCAGGCTGCTGTTGTTGGAGCTGAATGCAGCCTTTGTGACTGGCCTCCTGGCCTGCCACCAGGCTCCAAAGAGAGGAATTGGCCCAGATCTTTCTAAATAGCGTGTGTGTTTCAGTTGTCCACAAGGAGGGGTGAATGGGAAGCTCGACACAGCTCTAAGAAAATGCTCCGGCCTGTGGCGGGTTGTCAGGACACGAAGGATGCTAAGTGTCACTTTGTGAATGACATTCAGGAGGGCCTTGCCAGGTTGTTGTGGGATTCGTGGGAGTTGCCCCTCACTGAGCACAGCCTGGGAGGGAAGCTCTGTTCTCACAGGAACCTTGCAATGGCATGGCCAGCAAGGTCTGTGCCATTGCTCTCGTCTTGCAGGTGCAAAGATGATTAACTCTCCGGAGCCTCTTACAGGCGCTATGCTGAGTCAGTCCTGGCATGAAAGGAATGCAGTGAAAGGGAGAAACTGAGACTGAGCTGGGACTTCCAGATTTGCCCATGGGAGTCCAGTGTACTTGTTGTTCCCTGCGGTCAGGGACCCCGTGACTTTACCAGAATGCGAAGGCGGGTGGCTTCCCGGGTGGCTCAATTCTGCTCGGGACAGGTGAGGTGGTGAAAGAAATTTCACTTAGCAGCAGGTGTTACTTGGAGGATTATAAAGGTACCATTGTCCCCTCTCCAATAAACTGCTTGGTTTTGACCTGCTGTCAAATAGCAAGTTCACTTACCATTAAAACGCTGGGCCCTTACTTTATTCTTTATTAAGCTTTTATTAAATGCCTACTGAGGGTCAAGCACTGGGCTGAGCACTAGGGATAGAGTAACAAATAACATTTGTTTGGCAAATATTTATTGAGTGTCTGCTCCATACCAGACACTGGCTGGGGCTTGGGGGACCACTCATCTCATCCCTGCAAGGTCCTTGCTTGTGGCCAAGCCAGGTAAGCAGACCTTTGTCACAAAAAGGAGTGAATCTTCATTTGCAAGCATTGGCCACTATGGGAGCCACCAGCAGGGCCACTTAGAGGGCCTGGACCTGCCCCGTCCAAGCCACATGTGGCAGATGAACATGTGCAGTGTGATGTGCTCAAATTGAGATGTGCTGTGAGTTTACAATGCACACTCAACTTCCAAGTCCCAATGTGAAAAATAGAATGTAAAATGTCTTGTTAGTAATTTAAATTGATTGCATGTTGAGGTAAGATTTTAGATGCATTCGGTAAAATAAAACATATCATCAAAATTAATTTTTCACATCTTTCATGATGCCATGTAAGCCACCCAGCCATGTAGGAGGTTGATATTATCACATTCACCTGAGAGAGAATGGGATCGCAGGGATAAAACAACTTGCATAAGGCGAGGCGACTCAGGGAAGGTAACTCATTCGCTCAAGACTACACGATTGCACCTTCCCATAGAGAAAGCCCACTGGCAGTTTAGCTGAGAAATTGGGCAGGCAGATTCTGAAAATAAGCCATTCTTACCTGTGGCCTCTTAATGGAAACACCTCCGATTTTCTGCTGCGCGCATGGCTGCTGGAAACGAAGTGGGCAGTGCTTGGCCTCCACTGCAGCCAGATGCTGCTGTGGACCTGAGTTCTTGTCCTTGGGATGCTGGCAGAAGTGGTGTGTGCAAGCACCGTGCAAGGCCTTGTATCCTGCTCTTCCTCCTTGCTGGGTGGAGCTGGAGGTGGAACATATGTGCTGAGAATGGCAGGGCAACAAGTCAGAAGGTGCCTTGGCCTCTGCCACCATAGAGTGTCAGCTCAGTCCCAGCTACCTCTCTCTGGGCTTCTTCAACCTCATGATCAGGGTGAGTTTTCTGTTACACACAGCTGACCAAAATCCCCATACTACACTGCTATGGTCTGGAGATGTCCCCATACCCCAGCTTTCCTGTGTGAGAAGTTTGGTCCCCAGGTGGTAACTGAGAGATAGTGTGTACCCTGATCAGTCAGATCAAGTGTTTAGGTCATTGGGGGTGCTGCTATTGGAGGAGATCGGGGACCCCACTAGTTTCCATGAGAGGAGCTGGCAATACAGCAACCCTGGCCCCTTCTGTCTTGCTGGCCCCTGTCTCACTCAGTGATCTCTCCTTCTAGCACGATGCCTGCCTCTGTTGCCCACAAATTGGCATCACACTGGTGCCCAGCAACTTCTGTTGAGTAAACAGATGGAATGTGTGCCTGGAAAGCTATTCAACTTGCTCAGAAGGGAGGTTCATAAACCGGAGGTTGTAAGCCCAGTCAATCTTGGTGATGAGGGCAGGAGTTCAGGTGTCCACAGTGGGAACGCAGAAGGGGTGCCGCTGAGCTAGAGCCCTCAGGCACAGTGACTGGGTAGGTGTTGTCCTTTGGACACCCTCGTGGGAGAGGGGAGTGGATGGGCCGTGATTCCCTGCATGCACTCCCATGCCCTCTCCCACAAGGGATTTCCCAGGCAGTGTCCTGGCTAGCCTAAGAGATCCCTGGGCTTGCCTGTCCAACAGGACAGCTCTGCTGTGACTCAGTGTGAGAGACACTGGGTTGGATCAAGGACCTCTGGGGAAGGTGAATCACATCCAGCAGTACAGTGCCACCCCACCCAAGCCAGAATGGCCTGCGTTGTGGAATCTAGCAGAAAGGTCATCACAGCAGGTCTGAAGATGTCTGTCCTGGTCACGGGCCACTAGGAAGCTCATTGAACTCTGTACACAGTGTCTTCCCCTTCTATCAAGTAAGTGTACCTCCCTGGGTTCTGGGGGACATAAGTAGGTAATAAATTCTCTCTTCCGCTTGCTCAGCAGATATTGACTGGGCACGAATGCTATGCTGAGTTGTGGGGACAGAGGCACAAAGGGAGCACAGCCGATTAAGTTCTTACCAGGAAGGCAGGTAAGGAAATGGAAGACTGGCAGAGAACTGAAACTTCCACCAAGCTCACCGGAATCATCTCGTGACAGGAAGCAACTAATTTCCCTCATTTGATGGATGAGGAAACTGAGGCAAACTGGGGAAGTGACTGAGTACTTCCTGGTGTCGCATATTCCTTTAGACACTATTCCATCACAGTCCTTAGCATTGTCTGTCAGGGTAGAGGCTCAGAAGTTTATTTCCCCTCTTGTCAGCCAGGAATTTAGCTCAGTGGCACCGTGCCTGCCTGGCAAGTGCAGGTATCTGAGTTTGATTCCTGGTACCAAAAAAAAAGAAAGGAAAAAAAGCTAATTTCTTCTATTAAACTTGAAACACCTTACAGGAAGTACAGCTTTTAAAATCTTTTGATGCCCTGTGCGCAGCCCAGGGTTGGCACAGAGCAGTACTGTGTTGGTGGGCAGGGCAGCTCTGGAGCATCCACCTCTGCTGGGCCCTAGTTATCGGTTGAGCTAGTGCGAGAGCCTGGCCTGGCAGGCAGCATTGTCTGTTTGATGAGTTATGGGATTTGCTCAATGTCATACTGAGGGTTATCTGAGCAGCTGCACACTCAGAGATGGCCCAGGAGGCAATGTGTGAGTTAGGGGTGCGGAAGAACAATGGAGAGGCCCCAGCCATGGTGCAGATGCAGAGCAAAGTCCTGGGCAGAACAAGCACCTGGGCTCAGGCTGCCACGAGTGTGTGTCCTCTCCATGGCGGCACCCAGCTGCCCCACATCTCTGGTGAACACTTGCCAGAAAAATGCTTGTCTGGGAGGACACAGGCTGGAACAAGCCACCCTGGGGCTAAAACTCCCTGTGGCAAGGCACTGGGGCCATCCGCTGTCTTTCCTCTCTTCTCTTTCCATCATTGGTCATCACAATGACCTGAATGCTGTTACCAGTCTCTCAGGGGGAAACAGAGGGGGAAGCTTGGCCTGAAGTCACAAAGCTGGTGAATGGCTTTGAATCCAGACCATCTGTTTCCAAAACCTGAACTACGAACCACTGGTTCACAGTGTGAACTAAACGTGGCTTCCAACACTACTGCAGCACCCTGTTGCAGGGCTCAGGGAGGGCCACGTCCAGGCCTTGTGGGCGGAGCTGGCTCTGTGAAGTCCTCTGGCTGCAGCTCTCTGGAGGGATCAAGGCATTTCCCAGCTTCCTCCTGGGCCCAGTGGTCTTCGGGGGGCTTTGGAGTCTGACACTGGGAGTGGACCGGCCCAAGCCTAAGGCCACCAAAGTAGCTGCTGGGGGACCCTTCAGGAGTCCCAGGGCAAGGCCACTTGGAGTGGCCTTGAGAAACCAGTGCATGTGGAGGAAAGGACCGGAGACAGGGAAGTGGGACACGAGAGGGTCGAAGTGCTGTGGTGTTGCCAGCAGAGCTGACGTGAGCTTCGGTCGTGTTACTAGGAGTACAGTGTGTCGCATAACTAAGGTAACATTGCACTTCTGTGCTGCGGGTGGAGTTGGAATGCAGGGTAAGAGCGAGTTCTACCTTTTCAGATTGTCACAGTCAAGTCAGAACTGGGCCCAAAGAGCAGAACAGGAGCAGTGAAGGCCAGGGCGCCATCCTGTGTGCATCAGCTGAAGGGCCTGGATATCTCTTTGCTGAGGGAGAGCAGAGAGGAGGAAGGTGAGGATTGGACTTTGGGGTACTTGGACATTTTCCTTGGAAGAGGAAGTAGATTTTTCTGTGTGATCCTGAAGGGAAAAAAAGACTCAGGCCTGGAAATACAGTAATAGAAAGCCAGGTTTATGCTCAAACTGAATAATGCCTTTGACCAGTCAAAAAGATAGCCAAGGAAGGAAATGTTTAGGAAGAAGAAAGAAGAAACCTCAGTGACCCCTTGCTCTACTCTATGTGATCCCCACTCAGGTAACCAGGTCTTTCTGAGTCTCAGTCCCTTGTGTGAAGGGTGTGGAGTATTATGTGAGAATCCCTCAGTGTGACTGTCACCAGGGTAGAGAGACAGTTACATGCACAGCCCTGCGGTTCCGGTTACTGAGGTTTGCATCTTTGTTTAGGGAGACTGTGGTGACCTATTTTAACTCTGTAGTGCCTCAGTTGCCTCATCTGTAAAATGAGGCTCATATATGGAAAGCACTCAGAATTCTTCCTATCACACAGATAGCACTCAACAAAGATATCATCAACATCATCATCATCATCATCATCATCAGCAGCAGCAGCCTTCCTCATACAGGAAAGTGACTGTCACATTATCTAGGGTACAACAGGTGCTGAGCAGAGCTTCTTTCTCTCCTCTCCTCCTGTTTCTGGGATACCAGATTCTTCTAATCTCCAGACTCCTAAAAAAGGTCTCTAAATAATATGACATCTTTTCACATAGATTCTAAGGCAGTACCTGCCTCCATCTCAATCCCCTTTTAGCAGAGAAAGAGAGCTAGGAGAAGGCTCCCTCCTCCCTGTAGAAGTTTCCCATTCTACCAGATCTCACAGTGAGTCCACTGGCAGGCAGTTCCTCACTATCTCTGCCCTACGTGACTTCTGGGGAGAGAAGGCAGATAGGAAGGAAACGGAGGCTCAGAGAGGCCCAGTGAGTCACTTACTCTGCGGGGCTGAGCAGGACTCAGAGGCAAGGCTTTCAGACTCCAGGCACCAGAATTTCCATGAGGCATGGCCCAGGCCTTCGCCCCACACACCCTCCCACTCTGGGACTCTGCTGAGATGGGTACAGGAAGGCCATTCAGCCTGCTCCAAACCTTGACCCCAAATCTTCAGGGTATTAGAGAGGACCAGGAGGAGAGAGCTGCTGGAGCCCTTACAGCTGGGTCCAGCCCTGGCCAGACCTCTGCTTCCAGACAGCTGCCGTGGTGAGACCTAGAACCGATGTCAGGAACCCAGAACCCCTGCCAGCATCTCCAGTAGGATTTCCTATGATAATTCTGCATCGTCACCATCCCATACAACAGCCAGTAGCCACAGGTGGCTAAGGAGCTTGAAATGTGGCTCATGTGGCTGAGCGGAGGAAACTGAGGCTGGCTTGGGGAGCTTTGCAAATGGGTCACTGGATGGAAACCGCCTTGTGTGGCCCTGGCTGACTCCCCGGGGAGGTTACAGGGTCTGGTCTGTGTGTGGAGGGGTCTCGATTCCTGCCTGGCTCCAGCTGGACCCAACTCTATGAGGCACCTGTGTTGCTTTATTGATAACAGTGTTTGCCCTTCCAAAGCCAAGGCTGTAAAAGGCTGGTTTCAAAGTCACAGTGCAGAAATGTCAACATGCGGGGAGTCCAGGTGGGGTACCTGAGTGAAATGTCACCTACCCTGCCTCCAGGCTGTCGGAGAGATCGTTTGAGTCCAAGGGCCCTGGGGTCTGGACTTACTTCTTCCACAAGTATGCCGTGTTCCCTCAGAAATGTTTCCCACTCTCTCTGAGCCTTGTTTTCAGCATCAGTGTTGGGGTGGGGGATATTGGACTTGGAGGTTTTAAGAGCTCTTTTTTTTTTTCTGATACCAGGGGTTGAACTCAGGACCTCGTGCTTGCCAGGCAGGCACTGTGCGGCTGAGCTAAATCCCGGCCTCTTAAGGGCTCTTTACAATGCCCACCTCCCTCTGCTTAGTATCCTGGGTGTCAGCTCCAAATGCTGCCTTTAAGGACCAAAGTACTGTGTGTAGCAACCTTGAAGGAAAAAAACCACCCCAAACCTAAAACTGTTTTTGTTTTTCTTCCAAAAACCTCCCATAATGTCAGCACTGAAGCACTAAAGGTACTGATTTTGTGATTTTTCATAATGCATGAAGAAAATTCCCCCGCTCCACACAGCAGGCCCAGAGCCCCAGAAGCGAAAGCCACAGCCAGACTCCTAGGATTCTGTGGAGCTCTCTGTTTGGATGAATCGTCTGCCCTTGTGGACCTGGGGCAATTTTCTCAACTTTCAAATGTGTTTTCCTTCCCCTCTCCTTTTCTGGGGTTTTCACCCTTGCATGTAACTCAAACCACAAATAAAACGTTAAGTCTCTGGCTGTGAGGCCTGCAGAGCATAGCAGCTCTGGCAAAGCAGCTCTGGCAACCAGCTCTCCAAAGGACAAATCACCTTTTTCTCTTACTTTACTAATAAAAAATATAATAATAATAACACTGCCCTTCACGTGGGCTGGGAAGGTGTTGATTGGTGGTGGGAGGAGCTGCTTGGGGTGAGTCAGAACCCAGCCACAGGGGCCAGAAACCTTGCTGAACCCCCGAGAGCGCTCCACTGGGGCTCCCCTTGGGTTCTTCCCCCTGTACCTGTGCACAGTGTTCAGTGCCTGCTCGTGGTGAGTGAATGTTATCCTGCAACACCCTTTCTGGGTCATGGGTTCGTATCCTTGCTCTGTAGCTCAGGACACTGCCCCATGAGCTCGCCAGCTTATTCAGGGTCATGAACACTGCAGCCTTGTGCGGCGGGGACGCAAAGCCAGCTGGCCCCTGACTGTCCTTCAGGAAAGAACCCTCCTCTTCCTGCCTGGGTCTCTGCTACACGGGCCAAAGGAACACTGTGTTCTCAGCCCACAGAGGAAGCTGAGGCAGGACACTCAAGGCCTGTGGAGCCTGACTTCTCTTCTCTAAGTACTGTCTCCTACCACTTCCAAAATGATCTCCATGAGGATGATACTTCCCACTGAAAGGCCAACTCAACCCTCTTTCCAGCTGCCTGCTGGACAGCACTACCGGGATGCACTTTGGTCAGACCCCTGTCCAGTGCCAGGCTCAGAGTGGAGAGTCACAGCTGAGCACCAGTCAGCGATGCCCACAGGCCCCACCCGACCCGAGCTCACTTTGTCTGCAGAGCCCAGGCAGGCCTTGGGGAGCCACTGCACAGTCGATGAATAAGTGGAGGAATGCATTTTCCCTTCCCCTTGCCCAACAAGGTTTATCTTCTGATTGCCCACTTGTGCCAGTCTCGGGAGCCAAACGCTTGGGACTTTGCCAAGACTTTGTGGCTTACACAGCTTCTCTCCAGTGACTCCTCAAACTGGTCGCCATGTTCTTTCAGTTCAACCTCTGATCTGCCTTTTGCATCTGTTCTCTCTTCTCCAAATCTCAACACACGAACTTCTTTCCTTTAGTATTCAAGATTATATTGACCAAGAAGAGCAAAGTCCTAACTTACCTGCTTAAGTAACAGAGGGGATTTAAATCAGAACACAGGGACAATAACAGAACTGAAGGAGAAAGCAAACTTCCAGCCCCAGGCAGGGGAGGGTTAGTTGGAACAGGGAACTCTGACTCTGACTGCTCTTTTTCCCTCCCACTTCCTTTTTCTGAGCTCATGGGTCCGCCAGCTTCCTTCTCTCTAATTGCTTCCCATCTCTACAGCTGGGGGAACTGAGTGGACAAGTCCCCTCTCCCGTGTGCTCTAGTAGGTAACTCCCAGGGAAGCCCAGTTTACCTAATGTGCCATAAGAGCCCACCCCAGGCCAGCCACCTCTGTGGGATTGGAGGAAGATTTACAGGTGCGCAACTCACCCTGCAAGGTCTGGGCTGGATATTAATCCCATGTATCCCTGCCAGACAAGCTCGTACAAAGTCCAACCTGCACAACTGTCCATGTTGGACTGTGTGGGACTGGGCACTCCCATTAGCCACGTTTGGGTCAGATGCCCACTCCTGGCCAATCACAACTGCTAGGACAGCAGAGTCATGTAAGGTCAGAGTGCAGAGGAGACTGGGGAAAAGAACATATTCTCCAAGGAAGGAAGGTTGTGCACTCCCAGACCCCAGGGAATCACGTGATCTAGAAGGTGTTTACAATTCCCAAGCCCGCTCCTCCTGTTGGTTCCCTTTGCTGGCACAAGGAAACATCTGCCCAGTTGCTTTGGCCCAAATCCCGGGAGGTATCATGAATTCTTTCCTCTCCCTCACAATAATCTTCTGACTGTGCCTTAAATATACTCTAATCACTTTCCATTTATTCTACCATCTCCTAAGTTAAGCAACAATTATTTTTCACTTGACTCATTACAAAATGGCCTCCTAAGAGATGACCCCAAATCCATCTCATGCTACTTTGTGATGTGACTTGGCTGTTCTGACCACCAAGAGTTCTGTAAGAGCCGTACCCATAGACTACCCACCTATAGACTCTGTGCTCAGCCATTGAGATGCTAAGAAACTGGTGACAACACAGGCTTGAAAAGTGCTTGTGCCTTGGGCCTTGGCTTCTCTTGCTGTTCTTGGTAACTTTCATCCATGACTGGGAGAAGAAGCCCAGGATAATAAAGGACACATGGCCCAGTCACTCCTGTTTCTTCAGTGGACTCCCAACACCACCAGCTATGTGCTCAGCCTGCTGGCAGACTGTAGAGCTGCCCATGGAAGCCAGGCTGGTGAGCAGTAACACGGTGGTTATTTTAGGTCTCTGAGTTATGAGGCAGTTGATCACAGCAAGGGCCAAGTGAGCCTCCAACTTCCTTTCTGTGGTCTTCTTCTCCTGGGTGTTCACTGTCACCTTGAGATGCAGGTCAGGTTATGCTGTGTCACTCTTCAGCAACCTGATAGACCAAATCCATTTAAAGTGGTGGTACGGATTTTCCAGCAGGTCCCAATTCTCCTCTGACTTGCTCCTGTCTTCAACCCAGCCTCTGCTGCTTCTCCAGACACACCAATCGACCCGATGTTACGTTTGCATAGTCCACTCCCAGGCTCGGATGAGATGGGCCATAGATGTCCATTTCCTGGGGCACTATTCTTTCAACTTTCTGTTGGTCACAAGGTAGCTCCTTCGTTGATTTCTGATCTATTTTTCTTTTCGGATTGGCAACTCCTTGAAGGCAAGGACTTGAGGAATTTCTTCTTTATAGTTTTCTCGTCTAGTACCTACAATTGTGTCTAGAACACAAAGAGTACTCAACCATGAAGTTTCTGGCAGCCTCCCAGAGTTGAATGAAGTAGGTGTGCTCTGTTGAGGCAGAAGACAAGCTGGCTAAGACTGTAGGCTATGCTGTCAGGCTGTGTGGGCTTGAATCTTGGACATTTCCCTTATTGCTGGTGTCACCCAAGAAAGCTATTTAACAGTTCCTCAGTTTCTTCATCCCTAAATTGGAACAATAACTGAACCTAGATCATAAGGTGATCATGAAGAATGACTTACCACATAGAGCTCTTAGAAGGGGTAAGAATATCACCTGTTACCATTTAGTTGCCACAAAAATGATGACAATGATTATGGTGGTGGCAATGCTTTCATCCACTCTTGAAAAGTTTCCGGCCCCTCAGAAGCTGCATATGCAGCGGGTCACCCTTTCTCCCAGTGAGGCCTCTTATCACATTGGCAGGAAGCAGGTTAGTGCAAGGAGAAGGCACAGACTTTCAATGTGGAGGATGTGGGCTCAAGTCCTTGGTCTGCCAGCCAAGTGACATTGACTGAGTTTCTTCCGTTATCTGAGATTTGTGTCTTCATTCATAAAATGGGTGTGGCCCGGCTGAGTTATGATGAAGTCAGGGAAGAGGAAATGCTGAAGGAGACGTAAGCCTTGCAACATCTGTTCCTGCCCCATGCCTCTTCCTCTTAGATGATGCCTGTGAATCCCGTGTCCTGGACTGGGTTGAACTCCCACATCTCTCTGTGTTCCCTGCAGCCATGCACCTATTCACAGTATTGAGCTTATGCTGGTAAAACTCTAAGTGAGCATCTGTTCTGGGCTGAGAGTAGAGCAATGAACCAGACAAAGCTCTCCTGGCGCATTCATTCTTGGGGAAGATAGGTAGTAATGTCCTGTCAGTTTGGAAATGCCACAGACCTGGGGCTGAGAGTTCCTAAGAGTGGCCCCTCCATCCTTGGAACTCCACTGTCATTGTCCATTTGCTCATCAGTCTGGTCCTCTGCCATGAGTTTCTGGAAGTCAGGGGCTTCGTTGCTCAGGTACCCTGTGTGGTACCTGGTCTACAGCAGGTGCTCCATCAAAGTTCATTACTCCTCTCTCCCATGTTTGCACTGAATGATCGCTGTAGTATTAACAATGTTCTAATCAAATTTTTCCTTTCATTAAATAGTTACTAAAAATCAACTGTGTGTCAGACCCTGGTCTTGCACTGCCCAAAAGAGAGGACTCTGACACAGTCCTGTGATTGAAGAGCTCAGTGTCTGGTGGAGGACAGAGACATGTAAAAGGGGACAGCACAACCAGTTGGGTGAGCACTATGGGCCAGGTGAGCTGTGAAGATCCTGGGGACCCACTGCTGGTTCCTGGATCTTTCAGGGGTCCCCCTGTGAGCCATCAGATCTCACAGGCTGAATAGGCTTTGCCTTTTCCCAGAGTCTGAAGAAGACAGAGGCAGGGTTTCTGCAAATCTAGGCTGTTGATCAAACAGCACTGGCTTACATCTAACACATGTCCAGAGCTACTCCAGGTCTGGCCCATCTTCCCTGGGCCTTGCCGTCTCTCTGGAGGAAAGAGGTGCTGGGTCTTAGTACTCAGCTTCCCAGCCTGAGGATCCAAGTCCTTCTGTCCCTGCTTTATGCAAACAACCCAGGCTTCTTCCCAATTCACCCATCTCCCCTGGTCCTGCCACTGACCCCGGCAGACCATGAACTCTCCTGGCCTTGGCTTCTTCCTGTGCAGTGGGGGCTGCTACCAACTGCTGCCCTTACTGCTCACTTGCTGCTATTTACCCACAGGTGGGAAACTAGTGTGGGCCACAGCGGCTGTGTTCCTGACACTGGCCATAGGGGTTGAGAAGAGGAGATGGGCACTGAGACATATACCAAGCTCCAACCTGGGCGGAGCTCAGCCTCTGATGAGATGGGTCAGGGAGAGGAAGGGATGGGAGCAAAACACAGCTCTTAGCAGTGTCCTGTGTTCCGGGGATCATCGGTCACGACCCCAAGCCATCCTGATTGTTTATACCTCCGTGTTCTTGCAGAAGCTCTGTCCTTTTGTCCCGGGCTCCTTCTCTTCTCTGATGCCCCAGGCTTCAGGTGGCCTCACCAATTTCTCTTTTTCTTTTGTCTTCATGGAGATAACAGACCATGTGAGCTGCAGGCGAAACATGGGAAGCACTTGCTGGACTGTGTCCAGACCCTTGAGCTCCCTGTCCTGGGGAAGGCCCCTTTGGCTCCTCTGGGTCAGTCTTATAGTCAGAGGAGGGGCTCTTGGTTCCTCAGAGAACTGAGGTGGGAAGCAACCTCACATCCAGCAGGTCTTAGAGAGCAGTCTGTCTGTCTGTGAGCCAGTAGCAGTCACACTGGAAGTTAGCAGGAGACATGGAAAGGGAGAGACCCAGCCTCAGCTGGCTCGTGCCTGGGACTTGTGCCAATATGAACAAGGGTTTCTGGGTGAGGATTTCCCTGCAGAATGGGAATAGCAGCTGCTTTTCAGAGAGCTTCTCTGCCATGTTGTCTTATTTATTAAAGCTTAGTTGCAACTCTCGGCAAGTGCTTGTGTGCATGTGTGCGTGTGTGTGTGTGTGTGTGTGTGCATGTGCGTGTGTGTGTCTCCTTGAATATACACAGTGTACTTGATTTCTTATTTACAGATGAAGAAAATAAAGCCAGGGAGACAAAAGCCCAACCTCAGGAACATGTGTGGAAGTGCCTGGGAATAAGCATTCCTCCCAGAATCCTTGAAATTTGCAAAGTCAGTCGTGGTTTAGAAGAAAGAACTGAGGATTAAAGAGGGTCCATGGGGCACGAATTACCATTGCTTCCCATGCAGTCTGGCTGCTGCTCTTCCCTCTTCCCATTCTGGCCTCCTCATCCTTGCCGGAGTGGGGCCCTGACACCGAACAGGAAGGGCCAATAGTTTTCCTTGATTGCCACTGGCAGGATGTGCCCTGCGCTGGGTCTCTGTCTCCTCTCCCAAACTCTGCCTGGCTCTGCTCTACTTTTGTGGTCTTCCCATGGCCACATACTCCCAAGGCTGCCCTACTACCCAAAATTCAGGTAACATATCGCCATGACAGTTGTTGAAAACAGTAAAAGGACAGTCTAGGGTGTGACTGTGGACCTTGACACAGAAGAGCAGGCATTCAAAGGGGACACCTGTTTTCATATGCAACATCTCAGCCAACCCAGAGTACCAGCCTCAGAGTTGCTGGTCTAGTGCTTGGCACACACATTAGAGGCCATCAGAATATCTCCGTGGAAAGCCCAAGAGAAGAAGAGACACGAGTCACAGGCGGAAGTCTGTCCCTTTCTTCTCTGGTGGGATCCCGCTTAGGAATGTAAGTAGGATGGGATTAGGGTCAAGTCCTCAGCTGTGGGGAAGAGGAGAAGCAGGAGATGCTACACAGCAGGAAGAAGCGGGGGGAAGTGGAGGAGAAGGAACATGGGCTGGGAAGGAAGTGGGAAACCCAGGGGGAGTGGGGAGAGGCAGCAGGGAGGAGGAGGATGCTGGAGGCAACTGAGCTGGCTCTAGTAAGAACCATGGAACATCTTCCAGCTGCTGGAGGAGAAGTCTGGCCTGCCTGTGGTTCAGGGGAGGGTGGGCCTTGCTCTCAGGAGCCTGGCCTTGTAATCTCCATCCCCACATCTGGGGATGCTTGTGTGGGACTACCCTGCCTGGGCCACCCTTGTTCAGCTTCCTGTCCTGCGCTACCAGCTTGGGCTC